GTTTCCTCTCTGTGAGGCATATGATTTTTTTTATTATTGAATGAATGCGTGTATTGTGTATTGATAATTCAAGACATGATAATAAAAGACAAGAGAGACAGAAAGAGAGAGAGTTGGAGAGGTGTGGAGGTCAGAAAGAGAGAGGGATGGCTAAAAGAGGGATTGGGGGAGGGGGGGGGAGAGGAGAGCAAGCAAGTTGAAAGAGAGAGAGTAAGTGTAAATGTACGAGTAAGTATGTAAATGTAACTACAGTCTGGCACAGATAACTCAAACACTTCGAGTATTTGACAAATGTTCGACACATCACATCCATAATTTGGGTTAACTGAATTTGTATGAGCAGTCCATAATTTAGAGGCTTCCATGTTCATGTTATCTGTGTCCTACTAAACTACTCTTACTGCTGCACATTACTGAAGCAGTTTTAAAAAAAAATTGATATTAGTCAGAAAACAGTCGTCCGGATGTTATTTGGATTTTTCCTTGTTTTCTTTGGTCACCTGACAAGAATGCTGAGTTGTTGCAAGTAGTGTAGAAGTTGGAGTCACAGGAATATAGGGAGAGGGGAGGGGTGTCGTCAGCCTAGACGTAAAGTTTCCGAAGGTGCGTGGTTTAATTCCTGATACTGGCATGGTTTTTACATTTTTAGTGGTTAGAAGGCTTCTTTTCTTTCTTTCTGTCTATATATCTGTCTTGCTTTTTCCCAGCACTTCACTTACCTGTCCCGTAGTCTGGCTGACCATTGACTCTGAGGCTACACAGCTCCTTCCACTCCTTTCCAGCACTAAATGAATGTTATTGTGTCATTATATCTCCTTATGCTTCTCCTTAAACTATTCAAACAGTTGTAGGTCTCATTTCTTTTCTTTTTTTTTTCCCCTCTTTTTTTATGTTTCCCCCCCCTACCTTTTCACTGTACAAAATGGCAGTTATTGTCTTGATGTGTATCTCTTTACTCATACTCATAGGCATGGTTGGTGGATGTCTTTTTTTTTCATCCCCAGGTATTGGGATTTTTAGAACCTTGTCGGTGTGCAGAAGAACAAAAGAAAAAGCTGCAGTTTTAGTTTTATGGGTATGTTGCATAAATTAAGACAGCGTTACTGATGAAAGTGGAGAAAAGAAGGCCTATTATTAAGGCTTGGTGTTGGTGCAAAATTCTAAATGAATTGCTACCCACCCAAAACTGATGATACTCCTCAGACTCGGACCAGTCTGGGTAAATTAGAGAACCTTTGAAAGTTGAGTTTAGCTGCCAGAAAGGTGAAGAGAGACTGCATATAATACCTGAAGGAAAATATTTTTTCCTTCTGTACTCATTTCTATTGGATAGATCTGATTCTGAAGGTAAAAATCTGTTACACTTTGCAAGGAAGATCTCACTCTCTCAGCTAAGTATCTCAGGAGCATACAGAGAAGATCAGATGTCACATTATTGATGTGTGTGCGTGTGTGTGTGTGATGAGTATTTGTTTTATACACATGTTATGAAATTCCTGGTGAACATGTAACTTTGAGTACTACAATACATTGAAATTTGAAATATATGCCAATTCTGTTAATAGAAATGTATTTTTTATTGAGCTGTTTATGTTCAATGTGTGCGTCTTGAAATGTCTTGCAGTAAAATACACAAAGCATCTTCCAAGAGAAAAGCATCAGAATTATTTATTGGAATCTTTACTTTCATCAAAAGTGAAAGAAAAAAGATTTTTCTGTTTTCTTCATAATTTTTTATGTATGTGTGTCACGACGGGGTGGAATCAGGTGCTCGTTAATTTTGGGGCATGTAGAGATATTGGTATCATCTTAAAAGACTGTTTATTTGTCTTGCTTAAGATGAAAAAAATACTCATCTATCTTAAATAAGTAGAGATATTTGTGGTTAAAGGAGGTAGCAGTTGCCAGGTTTCAGAGTTAAAACAAGCAGAAAAATGGCCGCCAAAATGTTGTGACTTCCAAATCGTAGGAGTCTTTGAAAACAGTAAATTTACATTTTTGGAGCCTTTTACCAGCATTTCTCAGTAAAATTCACACAGAAATGTTTTTAAATCGACATGCAAGGGGTTCAACCAAATAACCAAAATAAACATTTCCTAACGGGGAAAATGCCTGTTTCTATGATTTCATTATTTTGACGAGCACCTGATTTCACCACAGTGCCTCACATATATACTTCTTGTTGCTGCTTTTTAATAATATTGGTAAAACATTATGTATGTGTGTAGCCTACTGTGAAAGGTCTCCACATTCAACTCCTTCTTCAATGACCCCATAAGTTACAGCAGATTACTGCAGTGGGTGGTTGGCAGGTGCTCTGGTGTGGTTTGCTCCTTCTTTCGTATCAAACATCTATCTTTCTTATCTCTCCTCCTTTTTTTGTGTATGTTACTCTCTTGTAACTCATCTATTCTTCGGCACTTATATGACCTTATTGTGTTGTAAGTGCCGTAAAAGTAAAAGTCTTACGAAAAAAGAAAAAAAGAATCCAGTGGGTGACGCTTTCAACAAGGTTGCCGGGACCGGCTTGTTGTCCCCGTTGGATCCGACCTCTCGTTCAACGTGACTGAGGCTAAAGTAATGAAAGGTGACCAGTTACTACATTACACGATGTACCAATACCAGTAATTAAAACAGTTATTCCCCCTGATGACGAAAATCTCAAACAGCATCAGTGTGCGCGTGTTTGAGCTGTGTTCTGACCGTCATTTCTGCATATATTTTTTTCTTTTTCGGAACACTTCTCGTGTGGAAACATACCCTCTCACATCTTGATCTAGATCTACATAAAGTGAAGGTGGGAGCTTGGATTTTCTGATCAGGAGAAGAAAAGAAAATTGATAAAAATGAAGGTCTCGATCTAGACCTACCCATCCAGAGTTCATCCTGTTTCACACAGCCTGCATCGCATTCCCTCCCACCCCCTCCCATCCCTACCGTAGACTAACCCTCGCCCATCTTCTTGGCTTTGGGGCCCATATTACAAGGCTCATTAGATCTAGCAATACAATGTGTTAGGAATCGAGGATGGGCCTTGTGCTTCGCGTGAGATGGAGAGAAAAGAGAAAAATTTTTCGCTTTTTGGGCCGCTAATTGCTTTTATTTGGTTATCGCGACCTCCTTGAAAGTGACTTTGGTCTGTTTGCAACCTCGTTGGAGCCGACGTACATTTACAAAGAGATATACAGAGGAAAAAATCGGGGATTAAGGATTGCCTCGTTGGAGCCGACTTCTCGTTGAATGTGACCTCGTTGAATGCGGCACCCACTGTACTGCAGAAATTACTGAGCTGAAGTTAACTTAGGTACGATGTGTTGACCAAATATGCACATTTGTCCGTCTTATGAATCATATGAAGGATTCTAAGGACTTCTACATGTAGTTGACTGCGCAGCATTTTAAGGTACTGTTTTGAACCAAAAGAAAAAAGTCGAAAGAACATGTCTCCCATTCCCATCTGATGAAAAAAAAGATGGCTATTGACACACTTTACAATGTGTTTTCTGCCGCCAAGGGCTGTTTGCTGACTATACAGAATCAGGGGTCTGGCATCTGTGGTGTAGCAGTAATGTGCTTTAGTGTCGCACGCAGAAGACTCAAGTTCAGTTCCCGTGTGGAGAAGAAATTTTTATCGAGTATCTCTGTCTTTTTGCTGAGATATTGTATCCCTCTCAGCTTTGGTTGGCCCTGACCAGGAGGGTCAGAAAGCCCACCTCCTAAATTATCTAAAGTTTGTCAAGGGGGTGAAAAAACGGGGTTTTTTTAATCTTGTGAGCTGAAGTTTATATGATCTCCATTTGACTATTCCTTGAGGCTTTTCCTTGTGTTCCTATACTTGGGGAATGCTGTCCATCTTGTGA